CCCCCCCCCCCCCCCCCCCCCGCTCTCTCTGGCTGCTCAGCCTTCCCTCGCTTTCCCACGGGCTCGGGTGGGCTTGTACAATTCCAGCCTGCCTCCAAATTGGTCCCACTGCTCTCCTGCTGCTGCTGGGCTGGCTGTCTTCACCGGGCCTGAGTCTTCCTCCCTTTTTCTGTCTCTTTTCCATAATCCCTGTCCCCGTAACAAGGCAGACATGATTTTCAAACTAATTCCGCTTTTCTCTAAGCCTCTGATGTTCGCCTTCCCAAGCCAAGCCAGCTTCCTGGGCCCACACCTTCCATTCGCCTAATGCATGTCAGCCTGAAAGTATTTCTGCCCCAGAGGAAACCCCACCCCAGAGCTGGGCCCTCCAGGCTCAGACCTTTTGAAATTCCTGCCTAGCCTTTGGGCTACAGTCACCTCCATACATAGTCTGTCTCAGCTCAGAAAGACCCTGTAGGCCTTCTTCCTCTTTCTTAATAGAATACATCGCAGTGCAGAGAATCAGAGTGCGTCATCCAGGGACAGAAAAATGTCATTTTGCAAAGTGTTGGTTTCTGTCATACACATGTGTGCACGTAGGATCTAAAATCCACGTTGTGTTTAGGGCTGCGGTCAAAGGAACCCAGAAAGATCCCAGCCACTGTCTGGCTCCCGAGCTAACGTGGGCGGGCACGTAGCTCACTCCCGGTAGCTGCAGCTCGCCCCGTAACAGTGCTTCCTTGCTCCACAATTGGTTTCTGTCAAGCCTAACCTTGGATAGCAGCTAAGATGTTAAGAAGGAAGGTGGCCCTTCATGACCCGGTCCGTTCTTGACCTGGTCTCATCTCTTGCTATTTTGTACTTGGTGGCTTAGCCACACTATGCTGTTTTCTTTTAAGGGATGGTTCTCTCTCTTGCCTCATGATTTTTGCAGAGTTTCCTTTACCTGGTAAATTCTTCCGTGGCCCTTAGGACTCACTGTGGGCATCACCTCTTCCTGGAAGCCCTCCCTGACCAGCCAAGCTTGGACTGGAGTTCTCCCCTACATTCCCAGATGTGCTGTGCTCTCCTCCACCCCTTCATTCTGCAGGGGGCCCCTTCCCAGCATCCTTCCCTCTGCCTTCACTCCTCTCACCACTGACCCAGGTTTACCTCTGCCCACAGGCATCCGCTGTGACAGCATGTGTCCTCCTGGCCGCTGGGGTCCCAACTGCTCCGTCTCCTGCAGCTGTGAGAACGGTGGCTCCTGCTCCCCAGAAGATGGGAGCTGCGAGTGTGCCCCTGGCTTCCGAGGACCCTTGTGCCAGAGAAGTAAGGCTGAGCCCCCCACCCTACAGATGGCTCACCCTCCCCCACCCCTTCCCTGTTGGAACAAGTCCTGGCCTAAGAGGGGCTGGGCTCTCAGAGTCAGCCCCCATCAAACCCCTCCCTTCAGGTCCCCTCTCTCCCTGTGCTGCTTTTTCTGTCCCTAAGTTCAGGGCCAAGGCCAGCTCCTTGGGGGAAACTGGACCAGACCACAGCTCTTCTCTGCAGAAAGGGTACAGGGTGGGGACCCCTCTCCCCATACTCTTGAGGAGCCTGCCTTCTCCCCTGTGTGGGACAGGATGGGCAGCCAAACGGACTGGGGCCCCTGAGGCTGCTGACCGCCATCTCCACTTCATCCCCAGTCTGCCCCCCCGGGTTCTTTGGCCATAGCTGCGCCCAGCCATGTCCCCTCTGCGTGCACAGCAGTGGACCCTGCCACCACATCAGCGGCGTCTGTGAGTGCCTCCCGGGATTCTCCGGAGCCCTCTGCAACCAAGGTAGCGTCTCTAGGGCAAGCGTGGGCCCGGGAGGTGAGGCATCCTGGGAAGGAAGTGGCTGGAAGGAGGGGTTTGGGGACTCTCATCATACTCAGGTGTACCCTTCTGAGACTTGGTCATCACCAGGCGTGAGACAAAGCTATTAGGCAGTTCAAGGAACAGGCTCAGAGAAGTTAAATGACTTCTCCATGGTCTCATAGCTAGGACGTGGAAGAGCTGAGAAATTCCAACTCCAGAGCTGATGAGAAATGAAATTAGCGTAGATGAGTTCTGCATAATAAGTGTCCCCAAATGGCTTATGCTGAGTGCCAAGTGGTAAAGGCAGAGGATGACGTGGGAGCTCAGAGGAGACAGTTCTGGCAGGGGCTGGAGATGGCAGCTTCCCAGCTCTCCCCCCACTTCCCACCGCCCCCAACTCAGGCCAACATCACTGATCCCTCACGGCACACTTTCCTGTCTCCGCGGCAGAATCCTTCGCAACGCCAACTCCAGCCAGCCTCCACCGCTCAGCAGGGCTTGAAAAGAGAGCTAACGCTGACTTGCATTGGTGTGCTGCTCGACTGGCTCCCTGGGAGGGAAAGCCTTGCTTTGTAACATTTGCAAGCAAGTTCCATGATCTAAATGTCTCCACCATGGTGGATTCTGTGGTACCAGGGCCTTAACACGGGTCACAGAACTGCTTCATCTGTAACACCCAGTGTGAGGGCAGAAGCTGGCCACAGCACATAGTGCTGTTCACTGCTGTCCGTAGCTCAGTGAGGCCAAGGCTGTGCGGAACGGGGGCGGCTCCATGCTGTTGCAGGCCTTCAGCGAGGCCTCAGCCTGAGAGGCACAGACGGAAGAAAGGAACTGTGGGTAAAGCAGGCAGCTTGGGTGTGGACATGTGACCATCCAGCAGTAGGGAGCGGCTGAAGGATTCGGGGGACTGGGTAGGGACAGCAGAGGGCGCTGGGAAGGGCATCTGGGGCCCTTGTGACAGCTTAGAACACAGGGTTGCAGAATTTGCCCTCGATCCTGTAAGGAGCAAAAAGATCTTAGACTAAAGTAAACTTAGAGCAGAAAGCAACTTCAAGGTCATCTGTGCAAGAATCTCATCTGGCCTGTGCTCAAATGCTTCCACTGAGAGCTCACTTCCTCCCAGGGGCACAGATTCTTTTGATGGATAATCACCAATGAGCTGGGCTGGCTTTGTAAGTGTATGGGCCGTTAATATGTATGAGTGGAAAGTTCACTCCACGATGCTTTGAGGTCATGAGAAGTTTGGGCCCCAGGGAAGCATATGTGACAGTTTCATTTGCTTGCAGCCCTCCTAGGACAGTTTAATCATAACCTGACACGTCGAGGTTTACTTATTAAACATCGGAGACCCAGCTGTCAATACAGATAGGCTGGGTCTAAATTCGGATCTGAGCAGCCTGAGGAGTAACGCTCAGATCCCGCGATGTCTGATTTATCGCCCGCTGGTGTAATGAGTATTTTCCTCATATAGATCTAATAGAGTTTGCTATTAATGGCAACTGCCCTGGTTAAGTCTCAAACCTTGTAAAAAATTGAACTGACACTTTCTAATGACCGGCTTTCCAGCGAGTTACAAATTACAGACACTGCTTATGCAGAATCATTAAACATAGATTAAATATAACCAGATGTTTTCTTTTCACCAGCCCCCTTTTCCACCGCCCCTCTTTTTGCCTCACTCTTGATTCAGCTAAGAAGTCAACCAATTAATGTATTAGACTGATCGCATTAGCAGCTCTGTAGGTGAATTTGTCAGCCTCATGTGGGTGAGAAGGACTTCAAAGATAAGACTGTCTTGTTAGAGAAGCTCAGAGCTGGTGTGGGGGATGTGCGTAGGTGGAGCAGCTCACCCCACTCCCCATCCAAGGCCAGGACTGGGGAACGGGCTCCCCAGATCAAGTACTTCCCAGAGGCGGGGAAGAGGAGGCTGGGCGACCTGCTGGAACCTGGGCTACAGGTGGCAAGGTGTGTGTCATCTGCCCTGGAAGGAGCTAAGGTTTTTGCCAGGGGAAGCACAGGGCCCACAAGAGCCATCCCCCTCCCCACAGCTGTTAACCAGGGCGTGAAGCCAGGGAGTGTGGGGTACAGTCCCCGTTTCAAAGGTGAAGGGTCATGCGGTCTGCTTAAAGGTGCTTAACCATTAAGTGGCAGACCTTCCTCGCTGCCTGACCTTGGGCAAGCTACTTAACCTCTCCGTTTCCTCAGTTTCCTTATCTGTGGAGTAGAGTTAATAATAGGGAATAACAATGAAAATATTGAATATCAACAGTATTACGAGGTTGACTGAACTGATATTTGCGAAGCACTTTGAACAGTGTCCAGCGCATGTAAGTGCCATAGAAGTTTTTGTGGACTGCATATATAAAATTAAGACCCAAACCCAAGGCTTTAGACTGGAGACCCAGGTGGGCCGTGCTGCCTTCTTTAGTTGTCCTGACCACGGATCATGCCCAGGAAAGGCAGAGGTTGACACAGATCCTAGGCTCCAGCTGCTCACGATCTGGTTGGGGAAGGGCTGGCAAGGGGAGGCAGTGTGGCATAAAGAAGAGGGTGTGAGCCCAAGATTTAAGAGAACTGGGTCCTGGTTAAGCTGCTTTGCTTCAAGAATCAGTACCTTCCCATGGTCCTCTATGTGGCTCGGCCGACTGATAGCCTCGGGGGTTCCAGGAATTCCTGCTCCACAACAGGAATGCAATGAAGCCTTCTTCGAGGATGGAGGGCTGGCTACAGCTGGACTCAAGGGGAGAAGGTTGAACTGAGAAGAGCTCAAAGGGGCAAGAGTCCGTGATCCCAGGAGAACTCACTGGAAGGTCACTGTCCTATTCTGGCCATTATGGAAGACTTCCTAAGTGTTTGCTATGTGTCAGGCACCGTGCTAGGCACTCGGACACAGCAAAGAACAAGAGAGCCAAGTCCCCTGCCCTCACTAAGCCTGTGGTCTAAAGGGGGACATTTGGAGCTCAGTCTTCCCCAGCAGGACCTGGGGGTTGTGGGGGATCCAGTCTACTTCCATACATTCAGCCACCATTCTTGCTTTTTCCGGGCATCATGGAAGACAAAGACACGGGCAGAACACAGGCCTGGCCTGAAATCAGCTCACAAGTCACAGTAACAGAAGACCAGGGAAGAAACTAACAGAGTCTGGAGCTTCAAACAGGGACATAGCTGCCCAGAACAGAGATGATGGGTGAATCAGAATTAAGTTCAGTTTTAAGTGATGTAAAAACCCCCAAATAATTGGCTTGAAACTGACAAACCTTATTTCCCTCAGAAAGAAAGAAAGAAAGAAAGAAAAAGAAAAGCAAGCAAGAAGCAATCCAGAAGTAGACCAGAAGTAGGGTCGCTTACAAAGGGGTCAGGGGCCAGCCTCCTTCTGTCCTGTTTTTCAGCCAACCACGGCACGTGGTCTCCACCTCTGATGGAAGGTAGCTGCATAAACTCCAGCCCCCTCATCCACAGTTCTTATCCATAATCCACATTATCCTTCAACAAGGATGAGCAATGGACAGACAGAGACACGCATTTCCACTTACCAGAGTGTAGTCGCATGGCCTAAGAAATGGAGTCTTTATTGCAGGTGGCCATAAGCCCAGCTAAAACTCCGGATTTTACTTCTAAGGAAGAAGAGACTGGATTATTGAAGGACTGGCAGCCCACTTCAAGGGGATTATGGGGAAGGTAGCATTTAAAATGAGTCTTAGGGGCGCCTGGGTGGCTCAGTCGGTTATGCATCTGATTCTTGATCTCATCTCAGGTCTTGATCTCAAGAGCCTGAGTTCAAGCCCTGCCCTGGGATTGACACCGGGCATGGAGCCTACTTAAAAATAGTAAAAATAAAAATAAAATGAGTCTTATAGGCAGGGCAAGATTTCCATAGTTGGACAGGGGGGTCAGGGAAGCTTTGGAAGGGAACAGCTGGAGGGAAGGCATGGAATGTTATTAGAATGTGGTGTGTGGGCCGGTGGCTTCTGTGTCTGGGAGAGAGAGGCAGTCTCCAGGTGAAGTGGCTTAAGTGTTCATCGTTAGGAAGCAGATTTTATTCTGGGGCAGTGGGAGCCACTGTGGGTGTTGGAGCAGGGCACAGAAGAACCATGAAGAGAGCTGTGCTTTAGAGTGCTCAAGCTGTAGGAAGCAGAGGATGAACTGCAGGGAAAGGAGAGGTAGGAGCTCAAGGAACACGCAGACCTAGTTCTACAGAAACTTGCAGCCTGGTTGAGGAAACCAGCCCTTCCTTTAGGGACCAAGGAATGTCCTCCAGGGCAGGGAGAGGACCACAACCCTGCAAGGGACTCAAAGTGAAATACCACACGGTCTCCACGGAAGATAGCACCTTGTGAGCCCAGGAGGGCTGTCCGGAGGCCGAAGGAAGGCTTGTGGAACGGGTGGCAGTTGGAGAGACAGGAAATGGGAGGGCAGAGACAGTCATCCAACAGTCTTAACTGCAGCCTGACCTGCCCCCAGGCACCCGTCCCTCTCCTTCCAGCTACATTGTCCACCCTCGTGCCTGTGGGATCAGTGATGCCAGCAAGAATGTGGTAACAGCAGAAGGCTGCAGGGCAGTGTGGGCAGCACCGGATGGAGGGCGGAGGCAGGATTCCCGGCCTCACCACTTCCATCTGTGAGGCCCCAGTCAAGCGACTCTACCTGTGTGTGCCTTCAAAGGGGATCGTTAACAGAGTCTCCAGAGGAATGCAGCTGTGGGCCCAAGAGGGGAACTCATTGATGTGCAGTTGTAGAAGGACAATGAGGCTGTAGAGGTGGGCAGTTCCCACCCAGATCTGGGAGCCCCGGGGCCGTCCCGGCTGTGGCCCAGAACTTCTAGGGGCGCAGCAGCTATGGATGGTGGTCTGAGGGGAACAGGTGGGAGGGCAGGTACCAGGCTATCCTGTGCCCACAGTGTGTGCTGGAGGGCACTTTGGGCAGGACTGTGCCCAGCTCTGCTCCTGTGCCAACAATGGGACCTGCAGCCCCATCGATGGCTCCTGCCAGTGCTTCCCTGGATGGATTGGCAAGGACTGCTCACAGGGTAAGCCGCTGCCCAAGCAATGCCCCCTACCAGGAGTCAGGCCCCAAAACACACCCTCCTCCTTGCCCAGAACCTCTTTGCCCCTGGTGCCTCCACCTCCTAGGACTGAAACCTTCTGTAGACAGCAATGTCCACCTGAGTCCCAGTTGGAATCCCATAGTTAACATGATGAGTTTTTAGGGTTGATCGTTGGCGTTACTGTTAGGATGAAAGGTACTGACATTGTTGGGAATACCGTTGTTACCACTGAGAATTAATACTCCATGAGCACTTGAGTAAGGAGTTGCCCTTAGGTTTGGTTGGGGAGGAAGAAGGGGCAGGGACTAGCATACTGGAATTTGGAAATAGGGTGAGACCAGGGCAGTCACCTCAGAGGGGTGAGGGCATCCCCTGAGTGACCCATGTGAATGCTGTCCTGGGCACATAGCCTGGACAAGCATTGTAGAGGCTGCTCTTAGAAGGTGTACCCAGAGACCACACAGTGTAAAGGTGGACACCTAACCTCCGTCCCATCTGATGGGTGAGATGGGGACAGCACCCCTAATGAGGTCCCAGTCAGATGACTGGGTCTGAGGGAAGTTCCATTCTGGTGGAGACACAAGTGTCATCCTCAGGGAGCTCAGCAGCCGAAAGAAGGGAGGCCCTTATCCTGGGGAAGCCCCCATCCTCACGGGAAGTTAACACAGTGTTCACACTGTAAACTGCTATGCTTAGTTTACCACACCCACCCACACGCTCCAGATCACAGCCAGTCCCCCAAGAAGGGAAGTTCAGGAGCCCTCAGAGCTGGGAGAGTGGGCAGAGAATCTGGGCTTCATGGGAATCCCGGGTAAGTGGGCCAAGAGGTGAGTGGAGGAGATCCGGGAACAGCGTGTCAGGAAAGCCGGGGAATACCAGCTGGGCGTGTGGTGGCATCTCAGCCGATGGGCCATCCCCCTTCCTCTCCTTTTCTGTCTGCTTCGCTCTGCCTTGCCCTCACCCTGTGCATCCCACCTACCCCCAGCTTGCCCCCCAGGGTTCTGGGGCCCCGCCTGCTTCCACACATGTAGCTGCCACAACGGGGGGAGCTGCAGCGCTGAGGACGGCACCTGCCACTGCACCCCTGGCTGGACCGGACTCTTCTGCACGCAGCGTAAGTCCTGCCTCCAGGCCTCCCAGCTATTCGGAGTCTCATGCTGCGGCCTGCTGGCTGCCTTGGGCATCGTCCAGGCCTGTGGAGGGAGGGACGACGCAGGCCCGAGGGCCAGCAGCTGCCCCCACCCCACCCAAGTAGTGGGAAAGCTGGGTGGATTCATGGGCTTGAAGAGCCCCGAGTCCTGGCAAGTCAGGGCTATAAGGCGCTCCAGCACTCAAGACCTGAGCCCATGGACAGTGGGGCCCAGAGAGGGAGGAACAGCCTGTGGCTACGCAGCAGGTGGACCCCAGCCTGGCCTCCCCGTGCTAAGGCACCTTTGTCTAAAGGACCCCTCACAGCCACCCCTACCCCTTCAGCCTGAGCATCTGCTGTGCAGAGGTGGCTGAGGTGAGGTGCTGGGTCTCACAGGTCCTCGCCCTGTACTCAGAGAAAGAGGCAGCAGATGACAGGTTTGGTCCCAACTATCGCTGCAGTTGTCCCCACCCTGTTTCTCCAGGCTGCCCTGCAGCATTTTATGGGAAGGACTGTGGGCGCGTGTGCCAGTGTCAGAACGGCGCCAGCTGTGACCACATCAGCGGCAAGTGCACCTGCCGCACGGGCTTCACCGGGCGCCACTGTGAGCAGAGTAAGTTGTCCCTGCCCCTGCCCTTGCCCCTTGGTGTTGGTGCCAGGCATCGGCCTCCTGCCAGGGAAGCCTCCCCCCACCCCCGCCAGTCTGCTCATTCAGGGCTGTCCCCTTCCTGTTCCTGGATTTCTGGAGCAGCTTCCAAGAAACAGGGCTGAAGAGGGTCATGCCTACATGGATGTTTGTAGCGTGGCTTCCTCCAGCTGGGAGTGGGGGAGGAGTAGAGGGTGCTGAGAGCAGAATGGAGGCCTGAGGGAATAAAGGGAGGCAGATCTTCTTCAGTTCTCTGAAGCCTCAGTGGTCCCCAGCTCAGGGCCCCGCATGTGGAAGATGCTGCATACGTGTGTCAAGCGTGGAGGAAGTGGAAGTGGGTGTCCCCCACACTCAGGTCAGAGGTGCTCCGTCCACCCCCAAGCATCAAACCAGCCCACAGTGGGAGCCACAGGGAAAAAGGTTTTACTCCTGCAGTTGGAACTGCCTAATCACAGCTGGCCCCGTGTGGCGGAGGGGGGAGTGGGTGTGTCTCACCGTCTGTCCATTTATTCTTCATGCTGTACAGGATGTGCGCCGGGAACCTTTGGCTATGGGTGTCAGCAGCTGTGTGAGTGCATGAACAATGCCACCTGTGACCACGTCACTGGCACCTGTTATTGCAGCTCTGGATTCAAAGGAATCCGGTGTGACCAAGGTATACACAGGTGGAGTGTCCCTAGGCAGGGGGCAGGACCTAGGGAGATTCCAGTGGGAATGACTGGATTTTACAAGGACAGCTTGCGACTTCCCTTTATTCAGTTTTGGAAGGAGAGCAGAAGGGGTGCGTTGGCAGGGAGGCAGGTGGAGCAGGAGCCTCTCGGTCATGGCTTCCCCAAGCTCATCCTTGACAAGTTTCCTGTGAGCCAAACAAGGGGAACCACAAGCTGGTCCTGTGGAAAGGCCAATGGACAGTCGAAGATAGGCCCGGTTCTGGTTGTGTCATCACCTCCTAGATGTCCTCGGCAGGTCACTTCCTTTTACTGGGCTTACTATTCCACATGCGAAGTGGGAAGAGAGTAATCCTTGTCTTCGAGCACAACACAAGGCTCTTTTGAGGGCCAAGGAGCTCAAAAGGGCTTAACCCTGGCTCCAGGTCTACTGAGGACACCCCATAGTATGGTTGTGAGGACCAAGCTGAGACAACATGAGTAGAGGACTTGGCACAGTCCTGGCACATAAGCGGGCACTCAGTAAATGATTCTGTATACATACAAACCCCTTGTGAAGTGCTGCAAGAAAATAAGGGATTATATTGTTGTTTGTTCTAGAAGATGGGGAGTAAGAAATGGCTTTCAATTTACCCACATAACAGAAAGGGGGCCAAAGGCATTTCCATTGCATTCTGATGCTATAAAGAATGATAATGCAGGGCGTTATTTCCCTGAGGATGCTGGCTAGCTCCATTTGGCCAGTTGCTGATGATGGCCAAGGAGAGGTCTAGACGGTGCCGGCCAGCAGGATGACCTCCACCATGCGCTTAGCATCAGCATGGAGAGTTAGCCCACACATCCATCATCAAGAGGGGTTTTGTGGACAGTATTCCTGGGCACAAAGGCACACTCTCGTTGCCAGTCTGTCATACGGTGCTCATGGTTCCCTGCGAAAGGTGGGATTTATTGTCCCCATGTTACAAATGAGCGAACAGAGGACTTGGGAGTCACACAGCTGATAAGCAAGGACATGGGCTGAGTCCAATTTTTCCCAACTCCTGAGGAACCTGACTTTACCAGTTACTGGTTATATGATCTTGGGTAAGTTATCTAACCTTGCGATGACTCCGTTTCTTCATCTGTGCAAGGGAAATACTTAATAGTCCCTATCTCCTGTGGCTGCTGGGAAGATCAAATCAGTGAATATCTATAACTCACTTTTTAGAACAAAGTACTCAGTAAACATTCGTTATTTTATTTGCCATCCGTGATCACATTTGTTCTTTGTCATAAACCTGGAACTCCACCCTCTGGAGGTAGTTGAAGAAACAGGCACAGTGAGGGACAGGATCACACAGAGATTGAAGAACAGGGCCAAAGACCAGAACCCAGGTCCCCTAAATCTAGAGCAGTCTAGGCCCTGGGCCAGGATCTGAAGGGCAAGCAGGCCTGCCCCAGACTCAGGTCCTCCCTCTCCATTCGCAGCTGCCCTCATGATGGAGGAGCTGAATCCCTACACCAAGATCAGCCCAGCGCTGGGTGCAGAGCGACACTCGGTGGGTGCTGTCACGGGCATCGTCCTCTTGTTGTTCCTCATTGTGGTGCTGCTAGGCCTGTTTGCTTGGCGCCGGCGGCGACAGAAAGAGAAAGGCCGTGACCTGGCTCCCCGTGTCTCCTATACACCTGCCATGAGGATGACCAGCACTGACTACTCGCTCTCAGGTAAGGGCTATGTCCCCAGCATCCCCTCTCCTACCCCAGGAGGAGCCACATGATATCCTGGGTGCCCCGGTTTATTGCTGAACGTGGGTGGTCATGCTTGCAGGATTGCCTGGTGCGGCTCGATGCTCAGACTCTCTTGGAGAGACAGTGGGGGTGGAGAGCAAAAACCTACTTGGGAAAAGTAGATGGGGTTTTATGAGATTGTCATTTCCTGGGTGCCTAGCTCTGAGCAGCTATGATTAGGAGTCTCCTTCTGTTTCCCCAGAGCTTCCTTCCCATCTTTCTCACCAGGCTTTGGCCATAGGAACAGTAACTTTCCTAAACTCTCAAGGGTAACCTCTTCTCAGCCCAATGCCTGAGCCACCTCAAGAAACTGGCCCTGGGGCTGTTTCCGAGCCCTGTTCCATCTTTGCTTCCTTGCTGAAGGCCTCAGAGCATCCTCCCGCCCAGTTTCCAGAGTTAGAAGGGCCCTCTTAATACAGTAGAAAGTGATGGTGTCTGACTTGGGGCGGGGGGAGTGTTGAAAGTTTGGGCAATGACCCACTATGTCCACAAACGTGGTAGTATCTCCAATGGGCATTCTATCTAGAGTCTGAAACGGGTGGAGGTGGGGTTTTAGGGCCGGATTCCTTCCTTTCTCCTGAACCTGGGACTGTTGCCTTAGAAAGGAGGCTTTTGGCTTTATATTTAGTCAAACGGAGGAGGTCAAAATGCTCTGAAATTGCCCACAGCCCTGGGCCACAGGACGCTGGGCCTGTCTGGGTAGGCACAAGGATGATCAATTTCTCCAGCTGGCTCCGTGCAGCCTCCAGCATCTTGGACTTAGAAAACCAAGATCACATCAGCCCATTCCTGCTAAGTACTGCCCACCATTTGCCCACTCTCTGCGAGGTGCTACAGGGTAGACAGGGATAGTTCAGGTGCAGACCCTGCCTTCAAAGAGCTCCTGGCCTGCTTGCCTTCCTGGGTTTCAGCCAAAGCAAATATCCCCTGACGAAATCCCAAGCCCACAGAGAGGATTAGGGGATTTTCTTCTATGACTGTCATGAGTAAGTCTGGCCAGTTTTCCCACATCACTCCACTGGAATTCCCCTTCACTATGGAGGGGTCCTGGAATCCGTAAGAGGGCAGGGCCAGCTGGGGCTGAGAGGACAGGGATTCTCTTTATGGCCTCATTGCTGGGATAGATCTCTGGAGGGAGGCAGGGGAAGCCAGCACAGCCCTATGCAGCAGCTCAGGGACATAGGAGGCTGTCAAAGCCAACACTCCTCTCCATGCTCTAGCTGCTGGGTGCCACCCTCCACACTGGCAAGCCTGACATGCCCTGCAGGGAGGGACACTGTGAAGAAAGAGGCAAATTAGCTCTACAGACTTCTGTGGGGGTAGTGGATACCAGAAAGCTTGGGGGATGGGGGACTTAGGTGTCTCTCTTTGCAGAGCGCTCCCAAGGCTGCTCAGCTCAAGTGTTATTATTGGAGTGTCTCATGCCAGGGGCAGGGGTATGATGGTGTGGCACCTTGTTCTCTTCCCAGATTTGTCTCAAAGTAGCAGCCATGCCCAGTGCTTTTCCAATTCCAGCTACCATGCACTGGCGTGCGGGGGGCCTGCCACCAGCCAGGCCAGCACTCTGGACAGGAACAGCCCCACCAAGGTACCGGGTCCCCAACTCCCCAGCCCCCTACCCGCTGTCCTCCCAGGGAGCCCTCACCTCTGCCCAAGAAGGAACCACACCCCAGCTGGAGGGTTCATGTAGAACCAACTGCCAATACATTAAACACAGCCCTCTGATCCACAGGACATATCAACACTCTGTGAAGCATTTAACAGGAAGCCAGCAGGTTACATGAACTAACAAGTGCCATCTAACTAGCAGACGCCACATGTAACCAACCTACGGCATCCCTCGATAGGAAATACACCCCCGCACCCGTGTATAACGAACTGGTACCAAATCATGTGCTCAGCACGTAGAGCCTTCTCAGATAACCATGCGGCCATTTTTGCTCTACAACGTATGTAATCAAAACACTACACCACCTCCCACCAATGACTGCAGCGTATTGCCAACACGACGCATGCAAACAGCACCTTAGAGAGTAATCGCTGGTACTCAGGTACCACCAAGATGTCCTTATCTGGCAGACACGTTATTGCTACATACCCGCTACCCTATTTTGCAATCAGAACCAACACAAGAGACAGGAAACCCAAACATCAGCCATAGCCAATTCATTGACCACGAACCCTACAGGCCTTCAAGGACACGTGTGCACCAGCCCGGACAGGGTCCACCCTTCGCAGCTCCCAGCATAACCCGGGCTGGTGGCAAGACCTCCTCTTATAATAAATCACAGGCCCTCAGGCAAGGATGTTTCAGCACACATGGGTAGTGAGCAAAAACCCCCCCACCCCCACCCCGGCCACCAGTGGTGTGCCTGGACCTGTACTGGGGAAATGTAAACAGCCTCAAGGACCAAAAGGTCTGACAGGCTCTTGCTGCACACCTCCTGACACCACCTAAGCATGTGCACGCACACACACACACACACACACACACACACACACACACACCCCTGCACATGCATACATATGATAGCAGAACCATGAGGAGGGCAATTGCAGGGCTCCTGGCCTCCTGTACAGGAAAGATGGACAGAAGCAGTTTTCATGTTCCAAGCCTCTGCCCTAGAGCTCTGGGAATCCTTTTACCCTGTGGCCCCACAGAAAATGTCCACCAGTCCACAGGCCTGGTGGCAGTTCAGCTTGAACCCCCTAACATAACACAGGGGCAACCACAGTTAAGCCAGAACGCCAAGGCCACTTTCTGCCACTTGTTCTCAGCCTCAGTTTTCGTATGAAAGGGAAGTGCTGTATACAGTGTGTCCCGAGGCCCCTGTGCAAAGTCTCAGCCCCACAGCTTTGGTCTCTCTTTCTGTGTTACCTCCTCAGCTCGGACTCTCATTCCAGCTTCAGCTTTAGGCTTGTCTGAGGAGCTGGAAGCTGAGGGAAGGGAATCTGGATTTTCCTAGTATGAGGCTTTTGCTTATTCACTAGACCCGTATTATCAAGGCTGCAGCAGGTCAGAAACTGGTGCACTAGCTCTTCCTTTCCCTCAATGATCTGAGGTGTAGGTGGGTCGGGATCATCACAAGGGTGGGTACACAAGGCTGGGCAAAGTGAAGGCTGGGCAGGGGCACCTCGGGAGCAAAGGGATTAACTTGCTCTCCTACTCTCCAAACAGCTCAGTAACAAGTCCCTTGACAGAGACACAACAGGCTGGACCCCCTACAGCTTTGTGAACGTGTTAGGTCAGTAGTGGTTTGAGTCTGATCCCCTGCCATCATGTCCCACCTGTTCTTCTTTTTCCACATTGAAAGTGTCCCTGTCCTAGCTCCAAGAGAGGAGGTTAGTAGATGAATCCTGAGCATGGGTTCCCCCAGGGAGAAGGGGTGTGAGGAAACTCAAGCCCTTGTTTTCAGTTCTCATAAGCAAATGAAGTCCAGGATGCCCTTCATTTCTGGTAGGGGAGAGTGGCTATGACCTGCGGACCACAAAGGAGACAGCTAGGGCCTGGATGTGGGGCTTCCAGATGTGGGCAAGAGATTTATCCACCATTTGGGAAAGGGACCCTTGCCTGAGCCAGGCCCTGCCAAGGTACTCCTTTCCAAGGGCTCCCTCCCTCTGCCCCACTGCCCTAGTGGGCACCAATTCCGGAGGGGGGGTGGGGGTAGTGAGGGAGGAAAGGTAGATGGCCTCGACTCTAATAGATACCCCTGGCCTTGTCCCTCTAGATATTACACATCGGGCCCCTGACTCCTTCCAGCCTGCCCAACCCTGACCCCCTCCATACTCCCCACCCTGCCATACCAGGGCCCTGGGAATAATGGCTCCTCCCTGTCATTCCTCTCACTAGACTCCCATTTCCAGATCAGTGCCCTGGAGGCCAGGTACCCGCCCGAGGACTTCTACATTGAACTTAGACACCTCAGCCGCCCCGCTGAGCCACACTCACCAGGTTAGACCCCCCAGCCCTACCCTCTACCCACTGGGCTCCAGAGGCTTTCCTACGAGCCCAGACCCAGCACCTGCCCTACCCCTTCCTGCCCCTTGACTCACCTGCATGGTCCCAGAACTCTCCCTTTTGGGCCCTCCTCCTTCCCAACATGGTTAGTCTATAAACCCAATCCCGCATCTAAAGGAAGCTTGCCTGGATTCATCCCCCATCACCCCTTCTGCTCCTGTCATGGTCAGTGGGTGTGGACAAACTGACGGGACACAACATAATTGTACTCCCTACAGGCCGCAGAATACAGCCCTAAACCACTGAGAAATGACTTGAGGATGGGGACACCTTTGGGGTTCTCTGGGCTCTGTGGGTGTGGATGACAAGCCCAGTGTCCCCCAGAGAGACCCTAGACCCACCAGTGGCTCAGGTCAAGCTCTCCCAGATCATACGGTAGGGTTGTCAAGCAAGGATCTGGAGAGGCTGGGGTAAGAGGTGCCAGCCGTCATCCTCTCTGCTCTGTATTAGGCTCAAGCTAGTGGCTTAGGAAAGATGAAAAAAAGCAGACTTGCAAAGTCAGTCCTGCTGTGGGAGGATGTGGAGTTATAGAAATAGGTACCATAGGAACTAAGCATAAGGAATTAACAGAGAATGCAGCCTCCCTAACAAGTGGCCTCTCAGGCAGGACCTTCGTATACTGGACAACCCTCGGGCTCTGGCTGGTTTCTAGAGCTCAAGGAAATGCAGCTCTGCCAACCCTGGGTGCAACAGCACTAAGAAGCATGAAGGTTCTGAATTTATCTGCCCACTGAGCAGCTGTGGGCTGCAAAGACCCTGAGTCTGCACCTAGGAGTCTGTGCTCTTGGCTGTGGGTCCCCTGGGCCGTGTCTAGATCTTTCAATAACCTCACCAAATACAGCCGTTTACCACCCCCCGCCCACACACACACCTTCCTCCCACCCCTGCCACACACGCAAACTACTACCATGCTGTATGTCTTTTCCCAGGGGCGCATGGTCTGGGCTCAGCCCAGATTTCTCCCCGCTTCCAAGATGTACACTCTACAGTGTAGCCAGAGCCACCACATGCTATCATGTTGTGGCTTACACTAAGGCAGGCTGGTGGCTAATGGAAGAGAATACTATTAGGGAGATCTAGTTTCTAGTTCATGTGGTGTCAGACAAGTCACTGCCACTCTTTGGGCCTCAGTTTCCTGGAAAAGTTAACAGCCTCAGGGAGGGTGAAGGAAGCCCTTGTCAAGTATAAAGGGATGGCAACTGATGCCAGGGATACACACTGCTAATCGTATTTCTGAAGGGCACAGGTACCTATAGGCCTTTTAGGAGAAGAGCAAACCAGAGGAAAACTTGGACTGGTTCTGCCTTATCAGTCAGTAACGTGGGGAAGGCAGGCAGATAAAAACAGATTCCTACAAACTGAACTTAGGAACTCAGTGGAGGAGGTAATGGTATGGGGATGTATCTAAACAGCATTGGGTTGGCCTTCAGTGTCCAAAACAGGGAGAGCCGAGTGGAGTCATATTGTATTTCAGTAATTACTTGCTGTATACCTTGCCTGATAGTGTGTCCTCAGTTAAAAGCTGAAAAAAAAAAAAAAAAAAAAGACTTTGAGCAAGAGTCATCACAGTTCTCAACCTAAAAATGCCAGATAGCTTCTTTCTTTTCTGGTATCACCAGCAGCAAAGTACCTGAGCTTGGTCCCTGAAGTTTAATGTCCTGCCTCTGGCTATGGCTTTAGGACCACCATGCATTGTAGGAGCTGGATAAACTGACAGCCAAAAGGGAGAAAAATCCTTCCGGATTAAGAACACTAGTAATACTTTTCAAAGACAACTCTCAATTATGTACAAATGGTCCACTCCCCAAAATGGGTAACTAAGACAGCGGACCATGGAGGGGAGTGATTATATTCTGGAAAGATGACTAATCAAGAATCTCAGCCACCAGTCCCCCTCCCTCTCTGGTTCCCTTCAGTCAAGCTTCAGATCCAGGAGAGGAGGCAGGACCAGAGCTGAGAGGTAAGAAACAGTCTTCAATGCCATTCTAAGATCCAAAAGAACTGGGATTTGGAATGTCATACACCCCTTCCCTAAGCTAGAACTGGCCCTGATTCATTCCTTGTCCCTGTACTTCTGGAGCTTGGAACTTCACCTACAGTGACTGCAGGTGGCATGAGAACTGCCTGTGACCACCTAGTGGAAGACACACCCCTCGGAGTTAAGGTTAAAGAGGAAGCGGGCGGCACATGCCAGGGGGCGCTGTAGCTCACCACTAATGCTTCTGAACCCTGTAAGAATTCCTGCATGGTCCAAATGATTTAGAGTAGATTAAACCCAGAATAATCCTCTAGCACTAAAAAACTAATTTTATGGGTAGGGGAGGGAAAAAAAAAAAAGCAAGAAAAAATAAAGCAAAAACATATGCTGTCTAAGTAAACATCACTCACCCCATTTTTCTCTTTATACTATTTTAATGCAGGTGCTTGTGGAATGGATAGACGTCAGAACACATACATTATGGACAAAGGCTTCAAAGGTAGAGTATCCAATCCTGACGCCCCATTAGAAAGGGCTTAGCAAGATAAACAGTACAGATGTGAAATGACCAGGAATTCTACCAGAGACACACTGCGCACATCCCTTACCTCACTCCCCCGAAAAGTAAAAAGACCACAGGACCTGGGGCTGCTGGGTAGCTCTGCTCAGGAGGAGCAATCATAATAATAATGAATTTATATTTCGATTTAAGTTGCACCTGCTTAGCAAGCGCTTCTGGGTTTTTTATAGATGCCAGCTAAATGTCTTCGGAAATGTAGAATGTCATTATCCAGCCAATTAGTATGAGTTAAATTGATTATAAATTCTGAAATAAAGTCAATCTACCTGCCCCAGAAGCCTCCTGTCGTTGCGCTGGCGAGGACTGCCACCCTGCACCTGCTGGCTTTCTGGAGCACAAGGAATGAAAATAGTACCTAGCGTTAATACTGTATGGCACGGCACCCTCAAGATCTCTGCCCCTGAGAGCGGGGAGGTCGGGACTAATCCCAAGCACACGGGAACTGTAAGTTGGATCATCCTTCTAGGAAGTCTGTGAGTGAAACCAAGGATGAAGGTCAGGTCCTGCCCTCGGCTTAGGCCCTACGTTTCAGTAACAGAATGTGTGAAATAGGTGGCTTTAGAACTATGTCACTTACTACTCTATCAAGTATTAACTGTGACCCTAGACTGGGAGCACTCCAAGGCCCAGTTTCCTCATCTGCAAGGTTAGGGTAATTATGCCTATCCTGTAGTCTAAGGACTATCCTAATGTCTAATAAGATTATTATGAGTATCTAATAAAAATCAGATGGGAAGTGTTTTTTGCCTCTTCTAAAGGGTTGCACTAATGTAACAGGGGTGTCCTTTTGTCTCTGAGGTCTACTTAGGAGTCTCAGCCATGCTGAAAGAGACGATCAACAGCAAAGATCCCAGTGGCTAGCACAGATCTAGCCGTGCACCAAAACCACCTGGAAAGCTTCTTAAACATACAGAGGTCCACACCCCCTATTGCCAAGACTCTGAAGGAGTAGATCTAGAGTCCTGGAGTCTCCATCTGTTATTAGTACTTCAGGGCATTCTTTTTTTTTTTTTTTTTTTTTTTTTTAATTTATTTATTTGAGAGAGAGAGAGAGAGATCACAAGTAGGCAGGGAGGCAGGCAGAGAGAGAGGGGGAAGCAGGCTCCCTGCTGAGCAGAGAGCCCGATGCGGGACTCGATCCCAGGACCCTGAGATTATGACCTGAGCTGAAGGCAGAGGCTTAACCCACTGAGCCACCCAGGCGCCCCACTTCAGGGCATTCTTAGGCAGCATATGTCACCCAACTAATACTTAGGAACCACTTGCCTAGACTGACCCAGATTTCCTGGATTACTGTTTTGGTTTTTCAGACTTAGTTATACCTGAGACACAACCATTTCCTAACCAAGGAGAGCTAGTCATCTGTAGCCATCAGTGGAATGGTTATTAGCACTGGAGCGAGCTAGGGGTCGTTGTTCTGAGCAGAAGAGCAGGAAGGGTCTCCATGAACATGTTAGGATGTGTACAGCCCAAGAGAACAATCTGAGAACAGGAGGTCAGTCACCCCTTGGCTTCTGGACAGCCAAAGTTCACTACTCCCTTGGGAACATCAATTCTGGCCATTTTCTGTGTATTGATTCAAACCATCCAAATGGAGGCACCATTACGGTAGTGAATGGTACAGTGGCGAGGTGAAGCTAAAAACAGAAAGCTTTACTGTTTTATCACTGTGACCCAAGACCTCTCAGTTTCTTTCTCAAAGAGGTGTGGGGACTGTGCAGAAAGATCTCTTAAGAGACTTTCCAGCTCCGAAAATATGCATGACTCAAGCATGAGTAAGCTCAGACAGGCCCAAACAGTTCAATAAATGAGCACATAACTCTCCTATGCACTTTGTTATCCCGTGCATTGCGATTAGGTGACTGTTTTCAAACTCGAAACCATAAATGTGTAACAAAGCTAAGGAGGGCAGTGTCTCTGCCTCAGCGTCGTTGATTCCTATTTCGTGGGATCAGGTATCTGAGCCCATAAGTGCAGGGAAGGCCAGATTTTGTTTCACCACTGACTATAATCATCCTTTAAATTAGACAGATAAGCAGGCTGCCTAGGTACATATGCCAACAGGTGCTGGGAACCAACACACCAGAACAAGAGAATTCAAGAAGAGGAAAATGAAATGTCACAGTTTGGAACTTTACAGAAATACTTATCAAAGACATGGAATAAATCCCACTAACTGGCTGATAAACATTTAATGAACTAGTTTGTACCAGGAACAAAATTACTTCCTAAAACTATTGGGCCAAACCAAATGAGAACCATTAGGAGTGAAGAGTCTGAGTGTTCTCTAAACTCAACGGGCAAGACTCTGGCCTGGAAGTTTTGGATTCGAGTCCTAGTTCTTACTGTGTGTGGCACTGACTGGGTCACACTGTTATTGCCTGTGTTTGATTTTTCTACCTCCATTAGAACGATGAGGTTTGTTGTACTAGTACCATTTCTACGGCCCCCTCCATGTCCTAATTCAGCCAGTGCTCCTTCTTGCCCTTGTTACTTTCTTCAGCCCTCTGCTCACTGTCATCCTGAAGTTGAAGAACACCATGCACTACTTGCTGTGCTAACCCCACTTTACCTCTAAACACCTGTCCATCTCCCCTTCCCCCTTCAACACAATGATACTGTAACAAATTGCCTTATGTTTAATTCCCTGTCAGGCATTTCAAAGAGCTACAGAAGAAATCCTCCCTGGCACTCTCCTTCACCTTTATGATCCTGAAATCCTGAATCCCACTGTTGCTGCCACAGGGAAGCCACCTGTATGCTCCTTGTTAATCCAGCGTCCACGGTCTCCTTGCAATAACTCTGGGTTATCTGGGTCCAGTGACATCCTGAAAACTATTTTTAGCCAGTGTGGTTCTCCTTCTGACTCTGAAATCTCCCTTTTCTTCTCACCATATCCTTGTCTCTCAATGAAGTGAAGAATGCTAACCTAGGGCCCAGGAAGAGAAAAGGCAGTGTGGCTTTCTAATAATAGTCAGAGGCTGAGAAGAAACCTGTTCAGTGCCGGGGTTTTCCCCAAGTGTGAAACACTGACTTTACCTAGATGTTTGGGTGAACCTAAAAGTTCCAATCCCACTCACTAGGTGGCCTTGGAAAATCATTTCCCCTCTCTGGATTTGCTGCTTCCTTTATAAAATGAAGGTTTTTGGGCTTATTCCAAGGCCCCTTCCGCATCTGAGGGTAAGAAGACAGTGTGTGATTTGGGAGGGTGGGAACAAGGTGAAAACAAACAGCAAGGCATTACAAAACTAAGCCTTCAGTCCTGGTGCTAATTACAGACCTTGGAGGAGTGACTCCCCAAAGCTTAAGTAGCTTTGGTGGACGCTTCCCCTTTCCTTGCAAAATGCCCCAAGGGCAGGGACTGGTTGGGGGGCGGGGCTATAAAAGGACAAGGAAGTATCTGAGAGAGGCTGGTTGCTCTTCCCCCTTACCCCACCCTGCCCTGCAGGCAGGTAGATGACTCAGCTGAAGAGACAAATAGCTTTCTAAAGTGTAAGTTTTCCAGCTAGCCCTGCCCTTTCCTCCCTCCAGTTCCCACAAATAGAATCCAGATTATTCCATAATCCAACACCCTCTTCTGACCACCTCAAATCACAACACAGACTTCTCCATCCTTTCTTTCCCTCTGGTCGCTTTATGGAAGGTACAGCTTCTCCTTGAAACAAATCCCCTCCCCCAACCCCAACTTCTCTTTTATTCACTTAGGTGCATCCCCTGCTGCACAGCAGACTATTTGCAGTTGTCCCCCTTATCTGTAGTTTCTCTTTCCTTGGTTTCAGTTAGCCCATAGTCACATGATCAAGGTCAATAGTGGCCCGTCACAATGCCTACCTAGGCCATTCACCTCACTTTACCATCTCACATCATCACAAGAAGGGTGAGTATACAGTACAATAAAGTATTTTGGGAGACCCCATTCATATAACCTATCACATTATAATTGTTCTATTAGTACTGTGTTTACTCTTACTATGCTTAACTTACAAATTAAACTTTCGCATAGGTATGTACGCATAGGAAAAAATATATAGAGGATTCAGTACTATCTGTGGTTTCAGGAATCCACTAGGAATCTTGAAAAGTATCCCTGTGGATTGGTGGGGATGGGGAGACTGCTGTAAACCCCAAACTTGAAGGCAGCCTTTTCTGGTGGAAATGAGAAGAAGGGCACTACTGGCTGATGGAGGATCTGCTCTTTGAGCCACAGCTTCAAGACTCTCCCACTGCCCTAACTGAATCAATCATGGGATTATCCACAAAAAGCTTAGAGCCTGGCCTTTGTCAGCAGGGCTTGGCCCCACTGATAGAAGGTATTCCTTACTGAGGGTAAGGGGAAGCTGTTATAGGTGTAATTTGCATTTAGAAATCGAGAACCGGGAGGACGGGTAGTAATATGCAAGGGGAAAACACTATGATTGGATACAGGAGAAGATGGGTTGAGCCCTAACTTAACTACTTACTAACATTAGGTGCACTTTATGAGCTTCAGTATCCTCATTTCTAAAGTAGTAATCATAGCCTTTTCTGCCCAGCCCTCCTCACAGATGTAACAAGTTTCAAATGACCTAACTGGAGTCAATATACTAGAAAAAGGGCTACATTTTCTGTCACTATTCCTCAGCTTTCAGAAAACATGCAACTAAGGTAGCCGCCAATCAAAGTAAAAGGATGTGCCAGGGTGGGGAGGAGAGGAGGGTGTTAAGAGGACTTTTCACTCAGGAGAAGATAGCCCTTCTTTAAGCAGTCTAGTCCTCAGCTTCCAAACCAGCAGCTCTGGGTCATACTGCCTTACTCTTTGGCTACCAAGTTCAGAGAACCCAAAGTGGGACCCATGCTAGGCTTCCTGGACATACCCCCAGCCCCTGTACTAAGAAACAAAGTACTCACTAGAAGCAACTTCATGTGGCTCTGGGCAGACTGTGGCCTAGGACCCATAACCCAGTTTCCTCATACGAGCCTCACCAGCACCTGGGCCTGCTCACTGTCCAACAAGAATGTTTTCTCCTACTCCTCTCTAGGGCTCTATGCTAGAAAGAGGCCACAATCTGAGATGTGACCAAGGCCAACACCTTCTACCCGTGGGCCAGGATGAGATGGAAAATGCTGAGCCTGGTTGTGGAGCTCACTCTGCTACTGACAAGCAGTGTGACTTGGGGAGGTCACTTCCATGACAAGCCACGGTTTCCTCATAAGCAGTAAAAGGGAAGGAGAGAATTAATTATGGCTCTAGCTACACTGCAGGTATTAGGAATACCTGACTGAACTAATGGGTAAATAAATGTACTTTTGTACAAGACTGAGGAAATGTTACCTGCTGAAACAAATATCCATAACCCTATACTCAGAAAAGTAAATCCCCTCCCAACCAATCATCTGTTGTGGGAGAGAACACTGCTAGTGGTGACACACAACTCAACTTTCAGCCACATGGGATGTTCTGATGTCCCAGGACCTAGTCACCCCTTGAGTTACAATGATCCCTTTATTATTATTTTTTTACATTTTCATTAATCTCACAAGCTGGAGGCAGAGCATGTGATGGTTCTAGTGGAAGACTGTCCAAGAATTTCACCATCTGCTACCACTTACAGAAATTCAGAGCTGAGAAATATAGAAATTTCACCATCTGCTACCACTTAGCAAAATTTAGACCTCTGAAGACCACTCATTACTGTCGAGCCCCTACAATTCCATGCTTATTTCTAGACCCCTTGGCTGGCAGATCGTCCGTCACAGAACAATGAGGGCCAGAGTTGGCCAGATTACAAAGAATCTAGTGCTTTTTCCAGGCAAGTCCTGGCTCACTTGAAGTGAGCTACAAAAGGCAGTGATCTTCCCAAAAGGGGAAAATGGCATAGAGGTTGAAGGAGGGGCTCCCCTTCCCTCTGTGACTCCCCATCACTTCCTTCCTCCAGTGAGCTACGGTTAGCCGCGGTTAGCCTCGTATCTGGAAACTAGTCTGCATCCTTTTGTACCCAAACACAGCCTGAGATGTTGGGGAAGATGCACCTGAGAGGAAGCAAGAGAGGAAACATGAGTTCTAGTACCAGAAGAAGATACTGCTAAAATTGGTTTCCATTAGCATTCATAAGTACTGGAACAAGTGACCCCAGAGGATGCAATGGAAGGCTTACTAGACAACAGGAACTTTCCAAAGGCTAGCCTGAGACCCAGGTGCTTTTTACACCTCTATTACACTTCTGCCTCCCCCAGCTCTGAGCACAAGTTTCTCATGAGCAGGGATGCTGCGGAGTTTGCTGGCTAAAGGTTGCCAAACCGCTGACACCTGGGCCAAATCACACACCTATTTCTTCTGAATCTAAGTTTCTTACTTATCAAAAAGAATTCAGAGGAAGAATGGTATCACAGAACCAACACAGGCCAAGGAGTCCCAAGGCACGCAGTCAAGCCTTGGCCCTGCCATTTATGAGCTTACAGGACGTTAGCCAAGTCACTTTTATCTCTCTGGGCCTTCATCCTATAAAATGCAAAGTATCAACTATCTTTGCAGGATTTTGTAAAAAATTAAATAGATGTGAAAGCACATTATGAATATCTTGAATTAATCCCCTTCTGGTTCTGTACCTGAATATTATGAACAAAAATGTCTCTATCCCTCCAAAAACAAAAGTTTCTTTATGAAAAGAACACTGCCTACCTAGGAAAGTGCTCTTCAACACATTTAAAGAAGGAAATCTTGGATTATCATAGGCTTTTACAGATCCAGGATCCTGAAGGCACATCAACTGCAATCTGTTTCTGGTACTGAAATTAAGTCTGTGTCCTTGTATGTCCTAAGAAATCTCTCTTGCCTTACAGATTACATGAAAGAATCCGTGTGCAGTTCTAGCACTTGTTCCTTGAATAGCAGTGAAAACCCTTACGCCACAATTAAGGACCCACCCATCCTCACCTGCAAGCTTCCAGAAAGCAGCTATGTAGAAATGAAGTCGCCTATGCACAGGGGGTCTCCGTACACAGATATGCCATCCTTGTCGACATCTAATAAAAATATATATGAAGTTGGTAGGTGTCTCAAATAAGTAACTTAGTGGAATCAGGGCAATAGTGCAGCATATGAAGTAAAAATAGGCCCTCTCCACTCACCCTGTCTTGAAAACACACCCTTCTTTTGTTGCCTTTTAAGGAATCCAAGGTGAATGGTCTTTTCCAGGATCACTCTCCTCTCTCATGCAAGAAATCAAATTCCCATGTCAACTCTGCTTTAAAAAGAAGTACTAGGACTACTATGAAGCAGAAATGCTGGGGATGGGGAAATCAGTGGGTACACACACTTCAGATGATTGCTGATACAAATTCCAGTTTAAAAAGAAAATCAGAACAGACATTTGCAAGCTTCTAAATCACCCTCTTCTACCTTCTCCCAGTATTACCTATGTCCCTGGGCTTATTGGTAAGACCCCTACCTCTAGGATATTCCAAACCTCTTGGTTTTGACCAGGGCTTGGGATTCTGATAGTACACTCACCTAAGTTTTCCATTTTGTGAGCAAGCCTCAATCCTAACCCTCATGTATTTACCACACATCTATAAATCCCTGGCTTCTCTCCCTATCCAGTTAAATAGAACTCTGTTCCCCTCAACAGGCAACCAAAGCTAATCTGTTCTCTGAACTCATTTTTCACTATATTCCTTAGAGCCCACTATCAGTGTGGTCCAAGAAGGCCGCGGTCCTAACTCCAGCTATATCCAGAATCCATACGACCTACCTAGGAACAGCCATATTCCTGGTCACTATGACCTCCTCCCAGTAAGACAAAGCCCTGCCAATGGGCCCTCCCAGGACAAGCAATCTTGAGAGAGGAAAGTCTCTCTCTTGCAATGTGCTCTGCTGAACATTCTGACTCTGAAAGAAGACAGTCCCTTGATACAGACTGACTCCACCTGCGTGTTAGTTATTACTTCCATCTGGAACTAAAGAAGAGCTTCCAAGTGGGACTGGGTAACTGTTCAAATGGTCTGTTCACAAAGGCAAATCCTATCACTCACCCACATCTAACCCCAAATGCCCAGGATTACATGATCTTTTAAAACACTTAAGATCCAGCTACTCATCAACATCAGCTAAATATAGATATTGATATACTTAATCCTCTGAAACGTGACGCCTATTAGGAAGCATATAAGCATAGGTTTCACGAATCTTCCTGGAGGAAAAGGGGAACTGGGGAGGGGTAAGAATTACTTTAAAGCTCCTGAAATGTGTATGTGCTTTTGATTGCTGTTACCATCAACATCTGTTTTATTACCTAAGATAAACAGCACACAGACATAAAGTGTGCTGGTATCAATCCTAAAGTACCTGTACATCTATGTCCAATCTGTCAGATCGCCAACAGTCAAGATTATGGTATATAGCCTAATACTGACAATTTCAATTTTTTAAAATAAGACTAAAAAATGCAAACTAACTTTCCTTCTTCTGCCCTTCGTGGTAGTAGGAGAAGTTTCCAAAGTACAGCAGCCTCTTTCAGTCTACAATGATTTCTAGGCCAGCTTTATCAAATCTTACTGATTCAAGGTTCAAGAACATTGCCAAGTCATTCCTAGCCTGGTCATAGCTCTTCAATCCATCCAACACCTGAGTCATTCCATGTGAAACAGAACTCTTGAGATGATGCCTTTAAGCAAGCAGTCACAGATTGATAAGGATGAAGTATCCCTAAAAACAGCTATTTGGCCTCCTGAATTTATTTGGCTGGCATTCCTTGAACTCAGAAGAGTACTTGTTTTCAAGCATTTCTTCATAAATCTTGAGCTTGATCTAGTATAGAACCTAAAAGTGTAGAAGAAATTAGATAAAAGTGGATATAGCAAGTTTAATAAGCTGCTTAAAAGTACATGATGCTTTTTGATGGAACTAAATGAACAGATGGACTGTAATCAGTTGCTGTAACCTGATGTAAAACTTTACAGTAAACAGCAAGTAAGGATATGAAGTACTTCTACCTTAAAACCACCACCTACTGAGATGGCCAAAAACGTATTACAATGAGCTAATTCTCCAGATCCCAATATTTAGACGTGCCCATACCTTCCACTACTAAACAGGTAAACTGGGGCTCAGTTTGAGTCAAACTGGAGCCAACTCCCAAGCCCTAAAAGAGAGAACCTTCTCACAAGAATTAAAGACCAGAAGGGCAAAGCGAGGAAACTAATGGCCACCCCTATACCACTCCATCCTCTGATATCAGCCAGCCAGTAAAAAAATACTTCCAAAAAGGTAAACAGAAGTGGAACTAAATGACTGAAAAGCTGGAAGAGCAACTACAGGAAAGTGTGGGAATCCTGAAGCCCTTGATACAACCCAGAAGTCTGCCATGGAACCCATTAGTTGGGGCAATGACCAGAAAGGCAAGAAAATCAATACATGAGTAAATCCCCCTCCCTCACTTCACTAATGGCTTAAGCAAATCTCACTATTAGGGGAAAACATAGAATACTTACATGAATGCTGCATGCGTGCATGGGAGCAAGTGATCAGCAACAGCAAATTTCCTTTCCACAAAAGCCTTATGAAATATAAATATTAGAAAATTCCTTTGTAGACCCAAGTAAATATTTCTCATACATATGTAGAAAGGAACAGAGATAAGAGACTTACCTCAGTATTTCGGAGCAGCAAGTGCTCAATTATCTTTGTAAAGCAAGGAGCAAGAAGCATGGCGAAGTCAGACCAGCCAGGACAAACTTCATCTCAATCCCAGGCTTTGCCTTCATCCCCCACCCCACACGCACAGTACTGCTGCCTGACACACTGCAAATAAGCAGCATCATGCGAGTTTCAAGTGTCACCTCTTGTTTGCTGACTATCTTATGGGCAAGATTCAACAAGAGGGAGCATGGTGGAACTGCTAACGCACAGGGTCAAGAGAGTTGAGTGTTACTTGCCCTCTCTGGGCTCCTTTCTTTCTCATGTATTAAAAGGGGGAGAAGGAAAGAGAGGTACAGAGCTCTAATAATCCTCTGGCTCTGGCATTCTATGACCGTTAAAGAAATGTAATACAACTCAAATTAGGCAATACAGAGGAGAAGGGAAAGGCAGAGGGTGTGATTCATCTATGGTGACAACAGCTGCCTTCACGTATCCGAGAGTTACTGGTAAAAGACATTTCAGTCTTACAGAGCAACTGTTAGGAACTTCCGTCTAGCACTATCACACATGGGTTATGGTCAACCTAAATATGTGCACTGTGCATTTTATTGGCAACTTGGAAAGATCTGTTCATTTTACAGAAACCAGTTTTCACTCAGTGATGTGCATTCAATTCAAATGAATAAAGAAAACACTATTATTGTACAATAGCATAAGTGATACTATGAAATGGCAATACTTTTTTTAAAAACCCAGATTTGTAATATATTTGTTCACTGTGCAAAGGGACCTTACCTTGTACAAAATAAAAGGAATTTCTCAAACTAATTTAACAAGAATGCCTACTGTTGCGTTGCACACTGAAAAGATGTCTATAATCTAAAACTTAGGTTTAAAAGGTAGAACTAAGCTACATTTTGTGTGGTCACTTTAGGCAGCCAGAGAAGTGAAAATTACCCCAATAGATGCTTGACAATAAAGTGAACAAGTTCTATCATATTTTTAACAAGAGTTTCTTGCTTTAAAGTAATGAATGGGAACAACACATTCTTGTCTAAAAATTATTGAAAAATCTCATACACATCAAATGCTCAGAGAATTTCTCTGCTTTCACAAAGATTTAAACTCAAAGGCAACTATGATAGCCTGTGCTCAGCTCCAGAGGCACAAAGGTACCTCTATGGAATGGAATAAAAGCAAGTGTAAGGGCTATCTGATTTACATACATGCAATGAATAGCTTTCCACTAGTAGAAGTTATCACCCAGTCTATTACTGTGGGTGCATGTTTTAGGACCTTTTAAAACATAACCTTGTGACCTCACTGGTAAAGGAGCAGCAGTATTAATTTTGTAGGAAAATACGGGTGCTAAAAAAATAGCTTACTGGATGCTTTCAAATTAAGTCTAAAAATTTTCCTTCATACTTGCAAAGTTTGTACATAATCCTATTTAAGTCAACCTAAGCCTTTCAACTTGTCAGTTCACAAGGCTGACATGACACTCAGAAGTTATTCCCAATGTTTAACCAAGAATAACACATTTTTGTTAGAGACTAGTAAGACTCATTCAGAAATTATCTAAGACAATTCTCAAGAGCTGGAGCTTGATATCTCAGTGAAAGACAAAACATGATCAAGAGTTATAAGGCTAAAAGAGTTATAAGGCTAAAGGCTAAAAAAATTTACTGAGAATAGTGGTATTAGATTATGACTTGTGAGGCTCAGAATATTACCCAATACCATAAATGATAACCAAAGGCTACAGGTTGGGTACTCAACACAGAAGATTCAAGAATGATACATTCTATGAGCCATTCATCTAACCAGAGAAGGCAGAAGAGGCTCATTTAAGCAGTATACGACAACACGAGAGAATCTTTCTCAGAAGGGATGGATGGATACACAGGGATTCATTATACTGCCATTTGTACTTCTGTAAAATTGTTTTATAACATTTACATACCCATGATTTTATGTAACTTTTAATTAAAATATTTTTTAGTCTGAATGGTAATCCTCAGACTATAACTCCCCAAGCTAAACTAGAATGAACTGTAGGATTAACCCCCTCACTCTTTTAGATGTTCCTTCTTTATTGTTCTGACATGGAATAGCAGGGGGAATAAATATTAGAATATAAATACGAACAAAGCACATTCCCATGCTTACGAATCTTACAATTTAGCAATTACAAAAGGGCAGAGATAAATGGAGGGTCCTAGTTATTAGCAGGATACTGATTATACATTTTCTTCCCTGACTTGCAGAGCTAGGAGGACTCAAGAGCAATGGTACAATCCAAACCCACAGAAAGGGAAAGCTCTAGTCTCTAGTGACACACTGTCAGATTCCCTTGTCAATTCCAGCTTCCACCTCCTAAGCCATTGATTGCCTAATCCAGCAGATGGCCCTCCAGAACCCTGGAGAGGAGAATGTATAGGGACTGCCATCTTAAAGATCTTGTATTTAGGCATCCACTTAAATGTAAAATAAAACCAGTAACTGATGATCCTAGTAGAGCCTGCATTGTTGGTTTCATATCCAAGGCAGTCTGCAGAAATAGTATTGCTTCCTGGGGCTTTTTGGACTGTTCCATTTCAGGCATGACCTATAATATTCTTGGGCCTTCGTGATGAAATGCTTTGGTATAGAGACTAGTACAATGGTCAGCAACTTCTTAAAGACAAGGATCTGTACCACTTCCCTAGAGAGAGGTATCCTGAGACTGGAAGCAGTAGAGGGAAATGAATCTAAAAGCAATACTCTTACTCACTGGCAATAACAGGGAAGTTTAGTTCACTGACTCAAAGAAAAGGAATCCTATTGGCTACTAATTTTCACGATCATCACTGGTACTGGTAACAGAGCAGTTAACAGCAAATATATAGGACTTCTATGCTGGGACCTATCAATAATATTAACTGAATTCAAATGGTTAGACTACTAAACTAACAACCAAATAATGCCATTTATATCTTGTGTACTTTGCCACAAAAACCTATAAACTTGGACTTAGAGGTTCTCTTGGACAGCTAGCTCTATGGACTCTTCTACCTTCTTACAGATTTCTATAAGAGGTAATAGTAAAAAAAAAAAAAAATTAAACACAAATATTTTAAAAGTTCTCTCACCCAGACATGAATATATTTTCAAAGTATATATTAAAAGCCAGCAGAATTTTAACAATAGAAGCCAAAACAAGC